CAGACGACCCTGGAATCAGTTCAACTGGAGATAGGGTTCAAATGAAGGTAAAGAGTAACCGTTCTTGTTACTTCCTCGGTGCATCATTTGTGATCCTGAAAATTTGAGCGAGATATTCAATTTCGCACTTATCTGTACTCTAAACCGCATCAGGTCTCCAAGGTGAAAAGCCTCTAGTCAATTAGAACAAGGTAGCACAAGGGAAGTCGGCAAAATCGATCGGCAACTTCGGGATAACGATTGGCTCTAAGTGCTAGGGTGTTCGGGCTTGATGATAAAGCAGTAGACTTGCTATTGGAGCTGAGCTTTCGGATGCAGCAATGTGTCTGATCGTTCGGACTAGTGGCTTGTCTTGCTGTGGAATCGTTTTGCTACGGTATGCGGTTCGCTTGCGGGCCGTATTACTTCGGACATCGTTTAATAGCAAACTTAGAACTCGCTGCGTCTAGGGGAATCCGACTGTCTAATTAAAACAGAGCTTTGCGATTGGCCGGAAAACTTGGTGTTGACGCAAAGTGATTTCTGCCCAGTGCTCTGAATGTTAACGTGAAGAAATTCAAATAAGCGCGGGTAAACGGCGGGAGTAACTATGACTCTCTTCTGGGAGATGGATGACCTAATCAAAGTAGCTGAACTGCTCTCGTCGAGGGTACCGAAGCTTGAGTGCAGGTGTAGCATCTTCTTTGATGTTTGTTGTTCCGTTGGAAGTAGCAGAAGGATATGAGTGATCATCGTCCGCGATGCAGCATCAGTCGAACTCGCACGTATCCCTGGGTAGGCGAAAGTGCCTTGTTTGATCTCTAAGGCTTGTTTACAGTTGGTGATTAGTTTGCTATCTTCGATACAAAAATTGCAATCACTCTTTACTGGTCATAGTGTACTAGTTTGAATGTATTCGGATGAATTACCTGTGGCAGTAATGCACCGTTGATGATCATTCACTGAGTGTCGATCTAGGCGGTACAGGGGTTGAATGTAGTCAGAGTGAGGGGATGCTTTCTATGCTACTCACTACGACTTGTCCTTAGTTTTGAACACTGCTACAAGTAGCTGAGCTAAAGCATCACTCTCGCTACTTTGAGACCAGCACTCTCACTGTAGTCAGACTTCTCTCTTGCTGTAAAAACGAAAAGAATTTACACGTCACAGGTATACAACGCTGGCGACACGCAGGAGGGACAAGAAATTCGGAAGAATGGTGCTGAAACATCAAATCAGCAGGATCCGAAAAGATCCTTTTGCTTGTACTATCCTTTACCACCCAATAGTACATGCTCAGATTGTTCATACTTGCTTGGAACGAATATGACAAACATTGAAGAACATCTTAAAAGCCATGATATCACTTTGTTAGAATATAAATGTGGGGCGTGCCACAAACCTTGGCGTAGCTGGCGTGCAGCAATAGCACATTATAGTAGATCTAACTGTCGACATTCTACTTCTGCCACACCAACATTTCTTACCGCAGATCCTCCATCATCAACAAATGTCATCGATCAATCAACAACAACCATCGAACAGCTACAAAACACAACCACAAACTCAGCTGTTAACGAGGAATCTGAGGCTGAGGAACAAATTCAAACAATAGGTAATCAATCGTCAGACGAAACGACACAACAATTAGGAAATGACGGTAACGCTCATTCACCATCTGTCATTCCAAAAACACAAAAGATCGCTGACGTACAAAATGTTGATATACCTGCTAATGATGGAAAACAAAGTGATGATGAACAGATTAATGGAGATCATGGTATCATCAGTAATACCAGAAAAGAAAATAATGTGGAAATGAAGGAGACAGACGAGAAATACTACTGTGAATTCTGTGCGTCTGGCGGATTTAATAAAAAGGCGGGCCTTTCACAGCATAAGAGACATATGCATCCCAACGAATATAATGCCACCATTGAAGTTCCGATGAAAAAGCGATTGTGGACTCGTGATGATATATTGATATTAGCAGAGCTTGAAGCTAATCTCACCTCCTCAGAGGCAGGAAATCCAAATTCAGCTCTTGCGTTGAAATTACCATCGAGATCACGAGAAGCCATAAAGAAACGTCGACAAACGACAGAGTACAAAACGCTGCTACAACAGGTACGTGAAAGTAAAGCAGCAATAACCATTGAAGAGTCTGATGATTCCGAAAAATCAATAATTGTAAATTCACTTACTATCGCGAATGATAGTATAAATAATAATGTAAATAATTCCGGTAATCACAACTCTAATGATAGATCTCAAGGTACTCAAGTAGGAACTAACAACGAATCTTATCCCGATATTCGTCAATATACAAAAACCAATATCATGAAGGGAAGAATTCGATTATGCCAAACAATGTGTGACGCTATGACGCATTATGTCAATGACGTGCCAAACTCTGATCCAGTCAATGAGTCACTGAATGGAATACATCAAGCGATAAATAGTGTTCAATCGTCTCAATCACGCAAGGACGATAAACAAACAATTGGGAGCAAACTACGGAGCGCAAAATCAATTGCAAAAGCTCAGAAATATGCGCATTACCAATGTTTGTTCAAAAAGGACAAATCGAAGCTAGCGTCTGAGATCTTCGATGGTGTTGACAATTCTGCAGTTAAGCCACCAATGTCCGTTGCTTACGAACACTATAAAAAGATCTGGACCATCGATACCAAAGATGCTGAAATTACTGGACGTAAAGCCTCGGTAGGAACAGACGTACTCCTTGCACCAATAACTCGTGAGGAAATCGCCTGGGCTATAGATCAAACAAATACTAAAACAGCTCTTGGACCAGATCGATTGCCACTTGTTACAATTAAAGCTATAGCGAAAAACGAATTATGGTGTGCCTTCAACATCTGGCTTGGTTACAGGCGAATACCCGATTCGCTTAAAATCAACCGGACTGTTCTTCTACCGAAGGGAAAGGACAATCTAGATAATATCAAAAACTGGCGTCCGATCACCATAGCATCGCTGTTACTTCGATTATATAACAAGATTCTAGCGCGTCGTATGCAGAATGTATTTCGCACCAATTCAAAGCAAAAAGGTTTTAAACCATTGAATGGTGTTGGTCAGAATGTAGCTCTCCTTCACAATCTATTAAGACATGCACGTACCAACAAGAATAATCTTTTTGTGTGTCTACTAGATGTGAGCAAGGCCTTTGATTCGGTACCTCATGAATCAATCAAACGTGCGTTACTGAGAAACGGTTGTCCACTCGAATTCATTGATCTATTTAATAATCAATATGAGAACTCGTATACAGCACTATCGTATGCGGATAGAAGTTCACGCTTAATAGCATTAAGAAGAGGGGTAAAGCAAGGCGATCCTATGTCATCAATCCTATTTAATCTCGTCATTGATGAACTCTTCGAGATTTTAGGAGATCGCTTTGGATACGAACTCGATGGAGTTGGCAGTGTCAATGCTCGTGCATTTGCTGACGACATCGCATTAATGTCTGGATCTGAACTGGGTATGCAAAAACTTCTTTCGGAAACGGAAGCGTTCTTGGGTGCTCGAGGTCTAGTACTTAATGCAGATAAATGTATATCGATCTGTCTTCGAAAAGCAGGAAAGGTCAAAAAGTCACAAATCGCAGACTCATCCGTAAAGAATCCACCACAATTTACGGTTAAGAATCAACCTATCCAATTGCTTGGAGTCGATAAATCATGTCGTTATTTAGGAGTTCAATTTTCACCTCTAGGAGCAGTTGATCCAAGAGTAACAGTGTCTGCAATCAAATCAGCATTGTCATCACTCTCTAAGGCACCGTTGAAGCCACAACAGAAAGTGGTGATGCTTCGGACGTATCTCATTCCTCGTTTTATTTTTGCTTTTACGCATACGGAATGCTACCCGAAGCTAATGGGACAACAAGATCGTCTCATTAGACGTTGGCTGAAAGAGACACTTAAACTGCCTCCATCAGTATGTAGTGACTTCTTTTATCTTCCAGTTAAAGAAGGAGGCTTGGGTATTGGGAAACTATATGACATAATAGGAATTGCTAAGGTGCGTCTTCATAGCTCTTTCCATCGAGCCAATGATATGTGTTTGCAGTTTCTTGTTGACACACAGGGATCTGCTATGCATTCTCGTTGGTGCAACGCAATGAAGCTTAGCGACCGCCCATCAGCCGCTGACATCAATCAAAGAAATGTTCTCTCAATCAATGAAAGTCGAATACGACTAGCGGAAACAGTGCACGGCAGTGGTAGTACAGTGTTTCGTGAAAGTCCAATAACCAATCAATGGCTATCTGGGTACACACGTATAATGAAAGGTCGTACGTACATCAAAGCAATACAGATGCGTACGAATACAACACCAACTAGAGTATCCACGACTCGAGGTCAAAACACTAACAAAGCTTGTCGCCGCTGCGGTCTTGCAGATGAAACTTTAATTCATATTCTACAGACATGTCCCCTCACGCAGGGTATGAGATGTCGAAGACATAATAATGTTTGTCGAAAGGTATCAGATAAATTACGTTCGAAAGGATTCCAGGTATACTCAGAGCAGGGATTACCGTCACCAGGTTTACAGACAAATATCTCGCGTCCGGATATTATTGCAGTACAAGGTGAAAAAGCTCTAGTATTAGATATAACGTGCGTCTATGAATCCAATTCAAACAGTTTTCCAGATGCATACCGCCGGAAGGTAAATCGTTATAGTCCCCTGGAAGAAACTGTCAAGCAGAAATTCCAAGTACGAAAGGTTGAGTTTCAAGGATTAGTAATTGGAAGTCGTGGTGCATACGATCCGAAGCACCTTGCAATCTGGCATTCTATGGGGTTTTCAGGTACGGAACTGGGTATGCTAGCGATTGGGGTAATTGAGGATTCTCTGAGGACGATTACTTTGTTCAACAATGCCAATCGCTTACGTATTTGATACTTGAGTAATTGGTAATTGGGCTAGTGGTAATCATGGTGGCAATGGGGTGATTCAGATATGGCGTGGTCGTGGTCCAGCAATGGGTGGAGGTATCATCGGTCGTGGTATAAATTATCAGGGTGTGGTGAGGTGAAAGGTGTGGTCAGTGATAATCAGGTGGCAACGTCGTTCCTTTTGATGATCCTAACGGACTGAATTCACGCGACCCCTGCTCTTATTCATAACTGTGTCTTTTCATGTGTTGTTGTAACGAATCTGGTTCTTTCTATTACCTTGTATTTCTTCTGAGTTTCCGTTTTCTTCTTGAAGTGTCGCTACAGTTACGGCTGGGCGTCCTCGGTCATACTTGCCGACTTTAAATGCAAGAAAGTTTCAATAAATAGCCAAATGCCTCGTCATCTAATTAGTGACGCGCATGAATGGATTA